GTTGATGCTGGTACGCTTGATCTTTTAACCAACGCTGATAATCTTTTTCCTTCTGCCGCTGCCATTTATTCAACAGAATCCAAGATGTGATCCGCGGCTTTGTCATCTTTGCTTTCGACGTCTTCCCCTACTCGTATCGGCTCTTTTGCTTGACACGACGTCTTCTAACCTCTCTATACTCGTCAGCCGATATCTGCATCTTGGGGTCGACTGTTCGAGCTTCTTTTTGATTTGGTTGATGTTAGGACCTTAGTTTTTCCTTTGAATAACCCAGCATCAACGATGTTTTGATCTCCTAGAAAAGGATTATCATCAACTTTCATTTTCCGATGCGTATCAAATTTGAGCCTCTCTTGCTGAATAGCTCTGTGTATATGCTACCTGAAGATTCTACATTCATTAGTAGAATGAGAAGTGGTATTATGGGACTTGTAGAACTTCTTATTCTTCAACTGATCAGGGGGCAACATGACATGACCATCGGGTAACTTGATCTGCCCTTTCTCAAGCAAGAAATCGAAGAGTTTGTCTGATTTTGTGACATCAAAGTCATAGCTCTCCTCGACTCCTCTTCCCCAAGGATTGGGCACCGTTATTATCTTCTTACCCCAATTCCATTCAGCCGCAGCAACCTCTTCTTCTTCATCTTCATAGCCGTCATCAATTGAGTATGGATCATAAGCTTCGGCTACTGTGGTACTCTTCTGGAATCGGGTATCTCTGTGCATACTTTGGAATTAGCTATTGAGCGCTGCTACCCGTTGAGCCAATTGACCCAAGTTGTCAAATTCTTGTCCCAGAGCTTTTCTTTCCACATCGGCAGTATTCCTTGAACAGCTAAAGCAGCTAGTTGGTCATCGGCCAAGTTTAAGGAGAAGCACAAGTTCCTGATTTCTGGGAACCTCTGAAGAAATTCAATGCCCGATTCATTTAGTCTTCTGTCTTATAGTTGTCAGATCGGTAATCTTCTTTTCTCTAGTCCTAGTGTAAAAATATATATAAAACTTCTTCTCTAGGTCAGCCCAATTGGCAATAGAATTGACTAGCAATGATGAAAATTAAGTGAAGGCTGGCCCTGATAAGAATAGAGAGAAGAAATGAACTCGATGGGCATCCTCAACTAACGCTTCACCCAATTGTGTAAGATACCGACTGATATATTCTATCGTGCTTGTATTGTCTTGTCCAGTGAACATAGCAAATTCTGAGAGCCTATAATTTGTGGGAAGAGCGACCAAATCATATCATTCTGGATATGGGCATTTATATGAAAAGGTCAACCCTTTTGGCTTCAGACCGAACTGATTCTTCATCATCTCGGTCACCCTCAGCAATAGTTCATCAACTTGCGGATTTAGATTTCTCTGCACCTGCTGACCTATCTGTGGATTGAAATCCCGTGTGCCTTGATATCCTGGATTTGACATCATGTGGAGGGTGTTATAATCCGTGCCATAGTGATAGCCTTGTGAAATCTCAATCTGTTGGGTCCTTTGCTGGCTTGCTGCTTGAAGTCTCTGATTATAGACATAAGGATCTATATCTCTACGGATCCTTTGAATTGATGATGCTATTTTTTAGCCGACGATGGTATGTGGCCTGATGTGCCAAAATTGATCATCTGGTTTTGACTTTGCCTCGCAGCTGTTGCACGTGCTGTATTGACGGTCTAGGATTGTACTTTATCTGATTCATAGTAGTACCTTGAGCTTGTTCAGACGAACCTTGAATTGTCTAGACGTCACCATTACCAGCTGGTGCTGCTTCTTGATGGCTGGTACTAACTTGATTAGTCCCTTGGGTCGACGGATCTGAAATGTTGTAACGAGTCGATCCAACCTGACCAACTAGAATTCCATGAATCGCCTCTTTCATGGCATTGTGAAATGCATCCACAAAGGCTTCATTACGGCTTGATATGGCATCACGAACAGATTTGTCTATGGCTTCCGTAAAGAAACGTCTGTCTTCAGCTTCGACTGTATCTGTCTATCCATGTAGTAGAACTCTAGGTAGTGGAAATTTCTGAATAATTGTGTTGTCATGTGTTTTGGTGTAGGACAACAAACACTTCTTCTGAAATTCTTCTGTAGCTTTGCCGATGACATCTTTATCTTTATCAGGTAGATCTTCATAATGTACCATAAGAATGTCGTCGTTATTGTGAGCCGTCATGACGATCGTGGGGTCCCACCGAGCGTGCCAGAAACGTGTGTCGACACAGAATTTTCGTCCTGTGCTGAGGACACACGCAGCAAGCCGGAAGGGTCCGCTCGATGGAGCAGATCCGCCTAGCTTTAGCGCAGGGATGGTCGATCCTATGCAATCCTCCCGAGGCGTGCCAGTCAATTTGACCCTGCAATTGATAAGGAGAGAAAATTTATCAGTAATTAAGGACGAAACTTGCCGGTGTTGCCATACAGTCCCGAATGTGCGGCTATGGGAGCCGATATGAAAGGAGATCGACTAAATAGTCGATTCCAGCATATTCATGAGAATAAATCGATTAAAGCTCATTAGGTTGTATAAGAGGAATCGATTATCATTCAGGGTAAATGTCATCATTTAAACAAATATTAATCAATGGCAATAAGATGCTGACAATGATTGGTTTATACTGAGCCAATGATTATGAGTAACCGAACCCCTTTTATATAAAGAAACAATTCAACATCACTTAACCGTTTAATAAAGATAAATCTAATGAACATGTTAGATCTCATCTATGACCATAACCAGTGGGGCATGAGGCAGAATCATGCAGGCCGTAAAAACAACAATAGACTCGACGACCCTAACTCATTACTAATATCAGTGGGGCATAAGACAGAATCATGCAGACCGTAATACAATAATAAGATCATGGGGCTAACACATCTTTCAACCTATCTTTACTTCAACGGTCTCGTGATGCGAACTGTTCGTGAAAGCATTCGATATCGGCTAAAACAGCAGATTCAGGCATAGCGCACAGTTAAAGTCATGCCTTATCAGGAATAGATCTATCAAATAACGATCCCCACTCCACGGTGCTAACAGTGGGGTGTGAGACAGAATCACATAGGCCGTGATAGCGGGCCATAAAATGGTTCTCGCTAGGCAATAAATCTACTCAAGACGCGACACGCCTTAACCGCACGCTATGCACGATCAGGATTAATATAAAACAGCCGATAAAAACATAACACATCGTTTAAAGTGTAGATTAGACCAATTTTAGATTAGCAAACGATGGGTTAAATAGGATATAAGGCCGATCTAGATCAATCCCAATCGGGTAGAGAGATATTGCTGTAATTAGATAAATAATGAATGCAATAAGCAATATCGGTAACTTAATGAATCTACCAAAGACTACCATTCTAAGGTAGAACCGATAACTTGACCTTGATCTAATTCAAGCAGTGGGGTGTGAGGCAGAATCACACAGGCCATGCTTGAATTAGACAAGAGTCGATAACTAGTTTGTACCAGAGCCACAGTGGGGGTCGACCGGATCGATGCAGCCATACGAACAGAGGTTTAAACCATGATGGTACTTTCAACAAGCAGTGGAGGTCGACCGGATCGATGCAACTGTACTTGCCGAAGAACTCGCCGAGATCTACTCTACTCCTACTCCTAAGGGTGGCCGGAGCCGAAAAAAGTAATTGACTTATATTTGATTGATTGGTCGTCTCTTACAATAGCCGGGGTTTGATATTTATACCCGGAGTCTAAACATGAATCCTACTCGTGCACGATTTGTTACAATCTTTGGCATAAATGAAAACATTCCTAATTTAAGATAACTTGGACTCTAATCTTTCCCTTTTTTGTAGAGTCCAGCATGTCTCGTCCCAGCGCCGATCGTAGCCTCTGTCGTTATCTGCTGGCGCTATCTGAAGAAAGCCGATTCTAGTGCTGCATCCGAATCTGCTGTTTTCAGTCTGCATGCAATTAATCCCCTGCTGACATGATTTTGGGAGCTCTCGAGCCCCTGAGATCATTTTTCCAAATTTTGGTGTAATCACTATTCCTATCATTTAGAAAGAATATAAAGAGATTTTTTGAAGTTGCTCTGAGTGAGTTCCTTATCTATGGCTAGCGAAAAATTTAAAATAAAGAATAGCTATATATTTAGAAATCTAATTTTAAAAGTTGAAGGTATTTTTTTCACAGGACCGAACTTCTCGGAAAGGAGAGCATGCAAGCTTGGAGATTCATTTCCAATATCTGTTGGAGACAGATTTTAGCCCAAAATTGCTCTATCTGGCTTCACGGAAGAATTTAGAGAGGCCGTTGGAGTTGCTACAAAGAGGCTCTTAGTTCTATGCTTTGGATATGTACGATGCAAAGAAGCCGTAAAATAAGAATGCTCGACATGTAAGCACACTTGGAAATGTACGATGCTAAAATGCCTTGAATTGAGAATGCGCCACATGTAACATATAATTTCAATGGGATATTTTGACCTCGTCGGTTTCAATGGTGGGAATGGAGGCTTTGGATCATTTTGACGAAGCGGAAGCAAACATAAAACATCACTGATACCACATGAGATTATTACATGGCACATGAAGAGTGCAACAAGACTGGATTACACTCTAATGACTACATTCCAAAAATGCCAGACCAAACAGCACCTTACTAATGGATGAAAATCTCTTTTATCTTCATGGAATAAAATCGATAACTTTTCCCAGACTTAATTTGCGTCAAGAAATAAGTTTGAATTCGCTACGTCTAAAAATCAAGCGTTTGGCATGCAGAAATCCTAATCTGCTGGAGTGCAGTCTATCCATGCATTCCCGTTTCAGTTTAACACTAAAGTGATGAGCTCAGTGAAATCAAAACTTCAAAAGGTCACCACGGCCCACAGCCATAGCAGCTAAACGAATAACTGGGAGACAAATAAATGCAAAAAAAAGAAGAAGAGTAGTAGAATCGTCTGGATCTCTGTTGACTAATGCCAACCACTATAATTGTACATGTGTCTAGAAGAGTTTGCTCAAGTCGTTTTACTCTCCGAGAGCCATACCGAACCCAAATTTGTAATCTTTCTTCCAGTGGTCAAGCTGCACAAGATTGCAGAACACAATCAGTCCCTTCGTTGATAAAGAGGTAAAAGATGATGCACTTCACATTTTCTGACTGCACACTACAATCATCTCGAGTAGGCCAAGATCAAGTTCTAAGGCTCCTTTCTTCTTTGATATAGTTATATCTATGTTTTCAATCACTTGTGCATCTATATAATTTGACTAATTCTTAGTATAAATTTATGACTTCTGACTTTCTCAAATCGTAATACGCCATATAAAAAGAAACAGATGGAGTACTAAATAGTTGAGTAAGTTTCTCAAACTGACCTCTGCAGACAACTGGAAAGTGACACCTGGAGTCAACCGCTCCTCCAAAAGAGCAGAAATTACACCATTGGTATCCAGTTTCCCCCTCAATCGACACTGCAAATTTGATAACCAATATATTTTCACTTAATATTCATGTGACTTCACTGAACTTGAATATCGTAAGCGCATAGAACAATAGGATTTCTTAGCCAAAAAGATCCACTTGATATTCATGTGACATAACCCAACTCACGAAAAATTGAATGCCCTCAAGCATTTTATCGAACATTTGCATTACCATAACAACTTGAAGCATGGAAAAATTAACAAATGGGTCAAACTAAAAAGGATACCTGTCTCAGCATATAATCATAACCAAAGCTTGCTGTTACATCCTTTGTCATTTGGTTGTACATGAAATCAGACGCAAGGGAAACCTGCGCACAATTTCTTACGTAATGAAGCTGCTATTAAAGCGAAAAAAGATGTAAGCATTAAAAATGATATGAAAAACACTCACCTTTTCAGATACTTTCTGTACATAACTAAGCGCGACCATTCCAGTGGTTGCAATTTGGGCAGTCGCAACCTGCACATATATGAGATACAGCTTCATCAGATACACATAAAAATATTTCTTGTCCCCAACTTAATATATAATAAAACTATCCAATGTCTTGTGCCAATCGTGCGTTCTGCCAAGATGAGTTCTGAGGCTCTTGTAACAGAAGTCTAAAAATGATGCTAAGCACAAGCAAGAAACCTGATTTATCAGGTCAACAACAATAATATATGAGCCTAAGTACTTCTGAAAAGAATCACTATGGTGCTCTTGTACATGGCATAAGCAGCGTGCATGCATATTTTTTAGCTGCAACCAAAGAAGTGCAGTACTGGAATTTCACAGAAGCAGATCAAGTTTTTTAAATAAAAGAGGTGACCAAGTATTTAACCTTATTGCTATATGTAAAAAAATTGAATAACATGAGTATATGAACACTTCTGAGCCTTTCCAACCAGGGTTCCACAAACTGCCAATTGCTGGGTGATAACCAACCGAGAAACTCAAGGCAGACAGTAATTCTTTGGAACCCAGCAAACCCCCCTCTTAATTACTTCCATTATACATACCAAACTGCACAATTTTTAAAGAAGTATACTAGTTTTGTTAAAGTAGTCAAAAGGCAAGGCCTGAAAACAAAAACAACAAAGGCTTATAATCACAAACAAGTTGGTGTAGTTAATAAGCCCTGCTTCCTAAGCAATTCCTAGATAACTATGCTAGTTAATTACAGTCATTAAAGACCTTGGGCAGCCCAAGAGGTGTGTACGGCTGCCAAGGCACCTATCTGATTAGCTATGCTCTAGTGAGCTGTTTGTAATCAATGCAATGTCTATCTCTATATATAATCAAGGAGACAGCCTGGGGTGTGTGGCTGTTCAGGCTAATCAAGTCTGTGTTACCTCCAACATTTGGTATCAGAGAGAGGTTAGACACCAGAGAGCCACGAGGCCAACTCCTCACCTTCTCCACCCCATGTCGACCTCTGCTGAGCGCGCTGCCAGGCTCAAGGCCAAGGGAACCGGCGATGGAGAGCTGGGCGACTCCTCCGGCCGTGCCGCGCGCTTGAAGGCTGCAGAGGAAGCAGCAGCGCTGGCAGTCCAGGCAGCAAAGCAGGCGGCGGCTGCTGCAGAGGCGGCAGCAAGGACGGCGCAGGAGCTGCGGGCCGAAATTGCTGCTGAGAAGGGGGAAGAAGAGGATGCAGAGGAGGAGGAAGAGGAGGCGGAGAGCAGGAATCGGGGGCTGCGGACTCCGTCGCGAGACAGGAGGCGCTCGCAGTCACCACTGCGGGACCGGAGGCGCGGCCGCGGCGGCGGTCGCTACGAATCACCGCACGGCAGAGTGGTGTACCGCGACTCCGGTAGCAGCACATCGTGGCCGATGCTGGACAAGTCGAACTACTACGAGTGGAGTCAGACCATGAAGCTGAGGATGCAGGCGCGCGATCTCTGGGACGCCATCGAGGGCGGCCCTGTCCAGTTTCGCGATGACAGGCGTGCACTGGAGGTGATTGTCGGGGCCGTGCCCAAGGAGATGGGCATCCCACTCCTCGACAAGGCTACGGCGAAGGAGGCGTGGGACGCCATCGCTGCGACTCGCATCGGCGTGGACCGGGTCCGTCGAGCAACGCTGCAGCGCCTACGCCGCGGTTGGGAGAACATCGGCGTCAACCCCGGCGAGCAAGTGGAGGATTTCGCCCTGCGTCTGTCAACTCTGCACCAGCAGCTTGTCATTCATGGTGACAAGGACATCACTGAGGAGCGTGTGGTGGAGAAGTTTCTGCGCACGGTGCCAGCCAAGTACGCGCAGATTGTTGTCGCCATTGAGCAGTTCCTCGACTTTGAGGCGCTCACTCTTGAGGAGGTGACTGGAAGGCTCAAGGCGGTGGATAATCGCGAGGAACAAGCGCTGACCGAGCCGGTGGCCATCAACGGCAAGCTGCTGTACACCGAGGAGCAGTGGAGAGCGCGCTGGAGGAAGGAGAAGAAGGGAGATGATGCCGGTGTTTGGATTCGAGAACCAAAGACGGTGGCGCGTGGGACGTAGCCGCGGTGGTGGACGAGGACGAGGCAGAGGCGGTGGACGTGGTGGCGGACGAGGAGATGGCAATGTTGCTGGCCGCGTCGGCCCCAACACCTGCCTCAACTGCAACCAGGAGGGCCACTGGGCACGTGAGTGTCCCCACCGCCGCCGTGAAGATGCGAGAGCGGGCGGTGGAGGTGGAAACCGTCTTTCGCCGCGCGGTGGCAATCGTGGTGGAGGTCGTGGCGGCGGAAATCAGCCGGGCGCTGTGGCGGGAACCAAGGAAGGCATGAGGCGGCGCCAAAGACGCCGAAGTGCGATGAAGATGGCGCCTGTTTCGGCACATGGCTTCATTAGCTCGAGCGAAAGCACGCCGGGCGCGACTGCCTTACGGCAAGAAGACGTCGAGTTCTCCGAGCCACGTGCTCGCGCTTATCTCGGCGTGGACGAAGAAGAGGTGGACGGCTGGTGGTACACGGACTCGCGGCGTGACGCATCACATGACCGGGCGCCAAGAGTTCTTTGTTGATCCGAACACCGGCGCTCGAGGAACGGTCCGGTTCGGGGGACGCGTCGAAGGTAGAGATCAAGGGCATCGGGTCTATTGTTTTCCAAGCCAAGACCGGTGAGAGAGGGTTCTTCATGGCGCCTACTTCATTCCGTATTCAAGAACTCTATCCTAAGTCCGGGACATGACTTGATGAAGGAGGGTCCAAGGTTGTGATTGACGATGGCGTGCTTCGCATTTGGGACAAGAGCCAATGCCGCTCGCCGCCAAGGTACACAGAGGGAAGAATAGGTTGTATATTCTCAGATCTTGAGGTCTGCACAACCTCTCCGTCTCATGCAGACGCAAGGATGAAGAGGCGTGGCGATGGCACGAGCGTTTCGCCATCTCGCACTTCGACGCACTCGGCGACTCAAAGCAAGGAGGAGATGGCGCTGGGATGCCGGTGGTTGACCATGTTGAGCGGTGTGTGTGACACTGCGTTTTACCAAGCAGAGGCGGCGGCGTTTTTTCCGGTTGCAGCAAAGATACCGTGCCGTAATCAGCTTGAGCCGGTGCACGGTGACTGGCGGTCCGGTCACGCCAAATGTGACACCGGCGGGCAACCGTTATATCTTCTGCTTTCGTCGATGACGCCACCCGCTTTATGTGGGCTGTGTTGCTGCCATCCAAGGACGCAGCAGCAGAAGCAATTAAGAAGGTCAAGGTGGCAGCAGAGGTGGAAAGCGGGCGCAAGTTGAAGGTCCCGCGACCGACAATGGTGGCGAATTCACCGTCGCGGAGTTTATCGTGACATCGCTACCGATGAAGGTATTAAACGGCATTTCAAAGGTTCTTATTCACCGCAATGTAACGGTGTTGTTGAGCGCAGAACCAAGCAGTGGTGGCTATGGCACGAGCTTTGCTCAAGCAACGCCAGATGCCGTCTCGGTTTTGGGGGAGGTGTGATGACGGTACGTGCACATTCTTCGAATCGATCCCCGACGAAGGCACTGAAGAATGCCACTCCTTATGAGGCGTGGCACGGCCGGGCACCAACAGTCGGCCACCTCAAGGTCTTTGGCTGTGTGGCTTATACCCGACGGCTTACTCAGCTTCGCAAGCTCGATGACCGCGGCGAGGCTGGCGTGTTTATCGGCTATGCGGAAGGGGCCAAGGCATACCGTATCTATGATCCAGTGTCCCGGTACAAGGCATGTCACCGCGATGTGGTGTTCGGACGAAGGCCAGCTGGGTGGGACTGGGCATCACCGGCAAAGCAGCACACCGTAAGCATGAGCAAAGTGAGTTTATCTGTTGAATTTATGGGCGGAGGAACTCCTCAAGCGTGAAGTTCAGCGTCCGCCTTCACTATCTCCTCCGCCACATCCCGCATCGCTCGGGTTTCTCTCCGGTGAATGCAGGGAGAGCTGCAATGAAACAGAGGAGCCCGCATGCGAGGCAGAGGCGCTGCGCCGCCTGTAACACCTACACCGGCTCCAAAGAAGTCCTCAAAGTTGAGCATGTGACCCCTTGAGGATGATGATGAAAGGGTGGATGCCTACCACGACGATGAAGAACTCCGCTATCGGAAGATTGATGACATTATTGGTGATCAACCAACCCCCTCCTTGCAAGCGCATGGCACTGCTTGCTGAATCGAATCTCACCCATTCTGGTGAGCCTACAAGCTATGAAGAAGCCAAAGATGATCCAGATTGGCAAGCAGCGATGAAGGAGGAGCTGAGATCAGTAGAGCGGAATGGGACTTGGGAACTTGTTTCTCCCGCCCTGGTCACCGTCCAATTTCACTGAAATGGGTGTTTAAGCTGAAGAAGGATGAACATGGAGCTGTAATTAGGCACAAGGCAAGACTTGTGGCCCGTGGTTTTGTGCAGCAGGAAGGAGTTGATTATGAAGATGCTTTTGCACCGGTTGCAAGGATGGAATCAGTGCGTGTTTTGCTTGCCCTAGCAGCACAAGAGGGATGGGCAGTACATCACATGGATGTGAAGTTTGCATTTTTGAATGGAGAACTTCAGGAGGAGGTTTATGTTACACAGCCTCCAGGTTTTGTAGTATCAGGAGAGGAGAAGAAAGTGTACAGGCTGCACAAGGCTCTGTATGGCCTAAGACAGGCTCCTCGGGCATGGAATGCCAAGCTTGACTTGACTCTCAAGCAAATGGGTTTTTAAGAGAGAATGTGTATGAAGTCGCTATGTACACAGAAGGGATCGGGTGACTCCCTCACGGTAATTGGAGTCTATGTTGATGATTTGATCATCACAGAGTCAATCACAGAAGATTGAAGCTTTCAAGGCAAAGATGAAGCAAACCTTTGAAATGAGTGATTTGGGTCTTCGTCTTTCTATCCGGGAGTTGAGGTGAGACAATCGTGAGGGGAGCATCACTCAAGCAAACCCATTATGCAAAGAAGATACTTGAGTGGGTGGTATGGCGGTGTTGTAATCCAACCCACCACACCCATGGAAGAAAGGTTGAAATTGAGCAAGGAAAACATGACTAAGGAAGTAAATCCAACTCGGTACAAAAAGACCTGGTTGGCGGCTTGAGATACCTAGTGCACACAAGACCAGATTTGGCTTTTTGTCAGAGGGTATGTTAGCAGATTTTGGAGAAGCCAACAATCAACATCTTGAAGTGTGAAGAGGATCTTGAGATACCTAGCCGGTACTCTAGATCATGGGCTCTGCTACACCGTAACAACAGCAAAGCAAGGTTTGTGGGTTACTGATGATTCAGATTTGGTGGAGATGTTGATTCAAGCAAAAGCACAACCGGATGTTTGTTCTTCCTTGGAACCACTGTCATTTGGCAAGTCCGTCAAACAGAGAGTTGTTGCTCTGTCTAGCTGTGAGGTGAATATGTGGCGATGACAACATTTGCAACCCAAGCTTTGTGGTTGTCAAGACTGCTTATGTAATTGTTGGGAAGAAAAGTTGAGGTGGTGGAACTCGGAGTAGACAATAAGTCCGCTGCCTGCTTTGGCAAAGAATCACATTTTTCCATGACAGAGCAAGCATATTAGAATCAAGCATCATTTCATCGAGATTGTGTGGAAGAAGGTAGCATCAAGACAGAGAGTTCATTCCCACTGCAGATCACTCACCGATATATTGACTAAAGCCTTGGGCAAAACCAAGTCGGAAGAGATGAGGAGCAGGATTGGGATCAAGGAGATCAAGATTAGTTGAAGCAGGTCTTAGGGGAGAAATGTAGTTAATAAGCCCTGCTTCCTAAGCAATTCCTAGATAACTATGCTAGTTAATTACAGTCATTAAAGACCTTGGGCAGCCCAAGAGGTGTGTACGGCTGCCAAGGCACCTATCTGATTAGCTATGCTCTAGTGAGCTGTTTGTAATCAATGCAATGTCTATCTCTATATATAATCAAGGAGACAGCCTGGGGAGAGTGGCTGTTCAGGCTAATCAAGTCTGTGTTACCTCCAACAGTTGGGAGTAGACAAGAAATAAAACCAACAAGGGCCACCACCAAATAGAGCATGGCATCACCAAAAAAAAAAAAAAAGAGAGCAGAGCCTGCCCTCCAGTTTAGGATGGGTTTTGACTTCTGCAACCCATTATCTAACTGAGACTAGAAAATAGTAAACCTCAAATGAAAATAGGAAAATATATCATCTTCAAGGTTCAAAAACAGATTTCTGGAAACTACTTGAGTACATTCAATTTCAGCATTTCTGTGATGAAGTCCAAGTCTTGCCTAACAGTACGGTAGTAAGTTGCACTCTAAAGACTAGCATGAAAATTTTCACTAAACAGTTCATTCCCAAAATTATAGGCATCAGAAGTTTTTAGTTTCATTCCAAGAAGTCATCAACATTTTGCATGCAACAACAACAACAACAACATTTTGCATGCAAGCTGGAAAAAATTAAAAACAGAACACTGACCAACTAAGCTTTACCAGTGGTTCGCAATGTTGGATACTTTGATCTGAGGCAAAAATGACTCCAAAATACCTTACTTTTATCTATCAGTTTGGAACTTAGGATTGTAGAAACTGCAAGGGAAACTTTCTAGGGGCCTATAACAGGATGTCCACAAAATCACGCACATATTACTTTACTGCTACTGAGTGTTCGCAGGAGAGGTGGGAAATCACATGACTTGAAGTATTCAAGGCAAACCAAAATCACACACATATTGCAAATAAGAAAACATTTATGCATGTGTTCAGAGAGGTTAATATTATTGCTTTCTGTTTTTTAATTACTTTAAAGAACTAGTCCTGTTTATCTTTACTTGGGGAATTCCAGCTAAAACAAAATTCAGCATTTATTATTATAAATGTCGAATTTATACTTTCCAAAATTCTAGCAACCTGAACTTAATCAATGTTGTCAGCAATTGTACATCTGAGTCTGGAATAAATTGAGAATCTACAAACTTGAGACCTCTTCAAATATGAATAGTCCCTGGAAACAAATAAGTTTGGAATCCTAAGTGTCGACAGATTGACTATAATTGATGAAAATCTGAAACTTCATAACAGATTAAATCATGATTATGTATAGTTTAAAGTTGCACAAAAAGAAACTAACCATTTTCTTTGTGTCATAGCGAGCAACAACACCGACTCCAGACTTCCTTTGCTGCCCAAGCCAAAAGGCTTCAGTTCCCAAGGAAAGGTTCTTGGTGACACTCTGAAATGCATTAAAAAAACTCTGATTTCATATCTTAATTGTTAGATGATGAAATGTTAGAACAAACATGTTAGCTGTGCAAACTCTATCTGAAATTAATTTCTGTATATTAAAAAAATCCAAGAAATTTCCTTCTATCATGATTAAACTAAACTCATGAGATTTATGAGAAAAATAGGCACTTTCATGGAAATCATGACCTTAAGAAGGTACCTTCTAACATCCTTTTAAACAACAGAATCACCTTCTAACTTGAAGTTTAAACAACAGAATCAAAGGAAAAACACCACACTGTTGACTGCTTAACCTATGTCTGGGGTGGTAGGTTAATGCCTAGTAATTGCTTATTGCACTGTTATCAGGATTTATATTGCTTTGAAACATGAGTTGTTTCTTGTGTAATATGAATGACGATTACTTTGGCGAAGTAAACTCAAGCGGACGAAAGAGGAATTTAGACACAATAAATTGTTAGAACAGTTTTATGAGAGAAAATGGAAGTATGTACCTGGATGTAGTTTGCTCCATAGAAGCCATTGTTTCCAAATTGAATCTGAGATCTAAAATCTTTGCCCTGGAATCAAGTTACAAATTAAAGCAGAAGTTCAGGTAAACAAATGAAAGGAAGGAATTAAAACACACCTTCAATGCTTAACATTGAACTCGCAAGGTTCAAGAAGCAAAACAAAGATTATTAACCACCCATATAATAGAAACTACCAGTCATTGAGCTACTCCAATTGGCACCATATGACTACAAGTTTTGTGTCATGATGCATGGAAAGTTACACACAATTAGGACAAAGCTGATACATCGATGCTATCAAGTGGTTGCCTGAGCTGACCAGGTCAATAGCACATTTTCACTAACTTCAATACAACTCAAGCCACATACTCATCTGATTCAAAGGAAGAATGGGCAGGCCTTGTAGCATGTAAACAAAACTTCAGGAGAGCAAAACAGAAAAAAGGGCGTACCCAGTGCAGAGAGCTCCCGCTCTGTGTGGGGTCTGGGGAAGGGTGTCAGTGGCAAGCCTTACCCTCGCCTGTGCAATGCGAGGAGACCGCGACTCGAACCGGGACCTTCCGGTCATAGGCGGTAAGACTCTCTACAGCTTGCACCAGGCCCGCTTGCACCAGGAGAGCAAAACAGAATAAGTCATAATTTCTATCTTTTCCCATACACAAAGTCCTACAAATCATGATCCAATCAATTTTGTGCGAGACAGCACAGCAGCAATAGCAATGACCAGGAGGAAGACATTAGTTTGAAAGGTCAAGTAGTGCCTAGGAAGGATACATTTCGATATTTAGGATCAATGCTACAGAGAGACGGGGATATTGATGAAGATGTTTGTCATGTGGGGCATCGGGTACACGAGGAGGAGGCGCGCCCGCGACGTACGGCGGGCGGCTGAGCGCGCCGCGAGCCTGGGTCTCGCCACGCATGCAGAGAAGCCACAACCGAACGGTGGCTAGGCTAGTCAATCCCTTAAGTTTAGGATCAAGTTATCTCCCTCATGTTTAGGAGATTGGTTTCTATTTATTTTCAGTTTACAGGCTATTTATGCATTGTAATCGTGGACTTGAGAAAGGAAGCAAGATTATTATCCTTAACCTCTATCTCTCAAGCCGACGGTCATTTGTGGGGCATAACCACGCGCCGAGGATTTGAGCGAGGGTACGAGCTCCGTAGTCGCGATCCTGCTACCCTAGGAGCCGACGGCCTTGACAACTCGGTATCGAGTGCTCGACGCCGTAGCCGGGCGACGTCGTCCGTGTGATAGGACGCCGGCGCACCCGCTTCTTAAGCATGGTCCGGGTGCCGGAAATCGCCTCGCACTTGTTGAGGAAGAGGAGGGATCGATCTTGCCGTCAAGCGGGGAAATCCACTTCTTGGGTCTTGAGAGAATTGAGTCGCGGTGGCCGTCCGATCCGTGGCCGTCGGCGTGGGCAGAGGACGACGCCGTCTTGTCCTTCATGGCGGCTATGTCCGACTTGAGGGTCTTCATCTCCATGGTTATGGTCTTCAAAGATCTCCAAGAGCTCGAATTGGAAGGCTCCGTCATGGTGGTGGCCGGGTTGGTGGAGGAGGGAGAGGAAGATGTCGGGGATGGCGGGTCGGGCGGTGGGTCTTTGGGGTTGGCGGTGGCGTGGGGGGCTGGTGGAGCGGCGGCGGAGGAAGAAGATCGATCGGATTGGATCGCGATACCCGCCGTCTGCTGCGTTCTTGGGCCTCGCGGGATACTACCGCAAGTTTGTGCAGACTATGGGACCATCGCCGCGCGCCGCCACGTCATTGCTTGAAGAAGGAGGGCTTCACGTGGACCGCGGACGCGACGGCGGCGTTCACGGCCCTCAAGACCGCCGTCACCTCGGCCCGGTCTCATGCCGCCGGACTTCTCCCAGCGTTCATCGCCGAGTGCGACGCCCACACATGGGTTCGGTGCGGTGCTCCTCCGGGACAAGCATCCCATCGCTTTTCTTCACCGGCCGGCCGTCGCGCTGCCACCGAAGCGTTGGCCGCCTCTTAACGGAGCCGATCGGCCTCGCCCACCTTGTGCGCGCCATCGGGCGTACCAGACTGGGCCGCCGCTTCACCGTCCCGGACGGACCACTACTGACCTCAAGTACCTCCTCGACCAGCGACTTGCCACGATCCCGCAGCATCATTGGGTCGGCAAACTTCTCGGGTTCGACCGTGGTGGAGTATAAGCCGGGCGCCAGAACGTCGTCGCGACGACGCTTTGTCGGCGCGCGACACGCCCGACGGCAAGAAGTTGAGTTGGCCATCTCGCCCATGGTTCGACTACATCGACAGACAGAGGCAGAGCCATTTGTTCACCGGCTCTGGTGGCTATCCGCGACGAACTAAGCTGGGCGAGCGCGACGGCGGCGCCGTGGGCGCTCAGGGACGGCATGATCACGTTCGACGGCCGTCTCTACATACCTCCGGCCTCCCGGCTGATTTGGATCGAGATCCTTGCCGCAGACACGACGACGCCACGAGGGCGAGGCGTGCGGCAGACGCTTCCACCGCCGCGCCGCGACTTCCACTTTCGACATGCGCTTTGGCGTGGCCCAGACTTCGTGGCGGGCACGCGCCACCGCCGGCGCTTTCAAGACGGAGCACCTCCGGCGGCCGGTCTCGCCGATGCCTCGCCGCGCCGGCCGGCGTCGGACGGACATCGGCCTCGACTTCATTGAAGCTCTACCAAAGGTGCGCGGCAAGTCGGTCATCTTGACCGTGGTGGATCGCAAAGAAATATTGCCACTTCATCCCGCTGGCACATCCGTACTCGCCCAATCGCTGGCTCAGCGTTCTTCTCCGACATCGTCGCCGCCCATGGCATACCACGCCCATGGTCTCCGACCGGGACCCCGTGTTCACCTCCACCTTTCGGGCGCGAACTCATGAGGTTGTTGGGTCCCCAAAAAGTCGCACATGACGACGGCGTTCCACCCACAATCCGACGGCGACCGAGGCGCCAACCGCGCATCATCGCCATGTACTGTGCGCCGCTTCACCGGCGACAAAGCCACGCGATCGGCTCCGGCTGCTACCGTGGGCGGAGTACACCTACAACATCACAGCGTACCGATCGTCGACTGCCGCGATACACCCTTCAAGGTGGTCTACGGTCGCGACCCCCACGATCCGCCAGATGAGCTGGCGACACCAAGGCGTGGCGCAGTGGCTCGATCCATGGAGGAACGCGGAGTTCTTGGATGACGCCCGCACCGTCTGAGGAGCAGGCCCAAGCAACCTGAAGCGATACTACGACAAGTCGCACCGCTGGTCTCCTTTGGCCGCTTCGGCGATCGGGTACTCCTCCGCCTACGTCACCGCCCGGTCGCGTCGCTCTCCAAAGCACCGCGCGGCAAGCTACAGCCCAGGTTCTTTGGCCCCTACAAAGTTACAGAGCTGATCAATGAGGTCGCAGTGCGTCTGGAGCTACCGCCGAACGCCAAGCTCCACGACGTCTTTCATGTAGGATTACTGAAGAAATGGGTTGATGACGCCGCCGACGCTCCCCCGCCTCTGCCAGCCGTTCATCATGGCGCTGTCCCGCCACCAGAAGGCTTGCGCGCACCAAAGCTTCGCCGCGGCGTTCCACAGTCCTTATTCATTTGGACAGAGAACCGGCCGATCAAGAACATGGGAAGATGTGGCGACCTTCACCGCTAAGTACCTGCGTTCGGCTTGAGGACAAGCCGGGTCGTCGAGGAGGGAGAGATGTCATGTGGGGCATCGGGTACACGAGGAGGAGGCGGCTGCGACGACGACGTGGCGGCGGTTGACCGAGCGGCCATGAGCCTGGGTCTCGCCACGCATGCAGCAGAGAAGCCACAACCGAACGGTGGCTAGGCTAGTCAATCCCTTAAGTTTAGGATCAAGTTATCTCCCTCATGTTTAGGAGATTGGTTTCTATTTTCAGTTAAGCCATAGGCTATTTATGCATTGTAATCAGGACTTGAGAAAGGAAGCAAGATTATTATCCTTAACCTCTATCTCTTCTCAAGCCGACGGCTGTGGGGCATAACCACGCCGGCGAGGACGGAGCGAGGGTACGAGCTCCGTAGTCGCGGTCCTGCTACCCTAGGAGCCGACGGCCTTGACAATGTTAGCCATAGAATCAAAGCAGGGTGGATGAAGTGACGCCAAACATCTGGTGTCCTATGTGACAAAAGGGTACCACAGAAGTTAAAAGGCAAGTTTTATAGGACGACAATTAGACCTGCTATGTTGTATGGTGCAGAATGTTGGCCTACGAAAAGACGACATATTCAACAGATAAGTGTCGCAGAAATACGTATGTTGCGTTGGATTTGTGGTCATACAAGAAGGGATCGAGTTCGGAACGATGATATACGTGATAAATTAGGGGTAGCACCAATTGAAGAAAAGCTTATCCAACACCGGTTGAGATGGTTTGGACATGTCCAACGGAGACCTCCAGAGGCACCGGTGCGTAGTGGAATCCTAAGCCAGGATAGTAACGTGAAGAGAGGCAGAGGAAGACCGAAGTTGACTTGGGTAGAGGCACTAAAAGGAGACTTGAAAGGATGGAATATACCCAAAGACTTAGCCTTAGATAGGAGTGCTTGGAAAACAGCTATTCACGTGCCTGAACCTTGATTGCTTCTGCTGGGTTTCAACTCTAGCCTACCCCAACTTGTTTGGGACTTAAAGGCTTTATTGTGGTTGTTGTTGTTGTTGTATAAGAGAAAGGAGTCAGATACCATACTTTATTACTTGATGTAAAACAAACAATTGCAGTATACAACTGCTGGGAAAGCCCATCAAACCAAACGACCAAATAAAGGCTTCTGAGCCAACAGAAATCGATCTTTACAAAGAGAGGCTGACCTTATAATCAAAATTCAGCATCCCTTGGGAGTAGTGAGGCTCACTTGTCAACTGCAAGAGCACAACATCGGTCAACTAAGGAATTTAAAGGTGGCATCAAGCAAAGCTGATCCCAAATAATCATCAATTTACCAGCAGTTAGAAATCAATTTACCTGAGCATTTATCTTTAACGAAAGGTTGTCCGTAATATCGTGCTTGATACGGATGTTCTCCCTTCCATCATGTGAAACCCTCCCCATGAGCATCGTCTACAGGAGAATCCCATTACAATAAGGAACGAAACCCAGTAGAGAACACTCAACAGCACTCTTATATAAAGGGAAAAGGAGCACAAACCCTCTGATTGATAAAGTTGGCACCAAACTCATAATTAGAGGTGGGAACCTTGATCACGTCGCTCCCCTGTGCCGGGATCTCAGTGGATCCCATGTAAACGCTGGTTCAAACAAACGCACAGCAGTTGTGAAAACATGGGCAAACAGCCAGAACACGCAACAAGCTGACAAAACAGGAAGAGGCTACCTGTGACTCAAAGCGAAGTACGGGGTGACCATCTTGGTGAAATCGAAGCGCATGCCCTCGAAGAGGTCCGGCTTCAGCGCCACTGCAACAAACGCGAAGAAGGCCACATCGTTACTCGCCACCGGCTCGATTGGCGGTCAAGTCAGACGCGGCGGCGATCGACAGCGCAGGTCAAACAAGGTAAGAGGAAGGGGGTGGCACCGGGGACTCACTGAAGGCCTCGCGCTGGATCTCCTCGTACGGGACGGGGCACGGGAGGTTGAGGTAGTCCACCTTCTCCTCGGTCGCCTCCTCCTCATGGGGCTTCGGCGGCGGGGTGGCGAAGGCGGTGTCAGCGGCAGCGGGCGCGAAGGGGGGAGGGGTCGACGCGTATGTGGGAGGAGGTGGAGGAGGGGCCCCGGCCTGGCTGACGTTGGAGCCCATGGCGGCAGCGGCGGCGCGTGTGATTGATTTGGGGTGGGGCGGGGGCGGCGGCGGCGCGGGGTCTGGCCGTCTGGGTAGGTTGTGTGTGATTCCGCTGCGCCGGCGGCAGGGGTCAAATCGTAGGGTTTTAGCAGGGTTTTCTGTTGCTGCGCCTGCGCGGTCGGCCGCCTCGGTACGGAGCGGACGCTGCTGGCGGTTGGATTTTGCCTCGTGATGCGCGTATCCGATCGATAGTGCCCGTGTTTTCTTACATTTTCGTCTTGTGCATCAAGTATGCCACGTCGTGCCGTTCAAGTATAAATTGTGGGTAAAAAAAGCCCGTTATTTAGGGTCGCATAATTTTACAAGCTTATCAGTACATAGTAAAAATGAAAATCATATATATAAATAGATACTGCGTTTTTCATAGTCCGACTTCTTTAACTCGGACAAGTTTATAAAAAAAATACACCATTTACAGCATCAAAAAGGGCCTTTATTTGAAATTCCATGTGTTGATAAATTTTGCAAGAGCTAGTTAAAAATAGTGACATTTGACTTAGGATAAAAACCAAAAGGACTTCTAATTTGACCAGAGGGAGTAAAATTGTTATATTTACCTGCATCTACAACATTATGTTTGGTTAATTTTTCGATGTCTCCGGGGTCTCCGTGAACGTACATTCAGCTGCAGCATGTACTGTAGCCACAACTATTGCAGTAGAAGCGAACATGTCAATTGTTTGCTTGAATTTTGAGAGCAACTCCAAGAGACCCGTTCTGTCCTTCGTAATTGTTAATAATAGAGATTTTAATGAAAAATATCTTTCAACAGCTTCTTTATTTGGTTAGCTAAATATAACTATCTTCTATTCTGGATTTCTGCCTAGCCAAAGATTAGAAAACAAGAATGACTCTCTAGAGTGCACACAAGATATATAAAAATTGTTGGAGAGTAGAAAGATATAGAAAACGATTTTTATGCAAATGACTCTTCAAATTGATGTTTAGAGATTGAGATTTAGAAAGATTCTTAAAGACGTTCTTTATCTCTTAAATGACTTGTATTCGAATTTTAACTAAACTCTTGGAGATGCTCTTTATCTCTTAAATGACTTGTATTTGAATTTTAACTAGTGTAGCTGCCAATACATAGTATGCGATTTCCCACCCCCCCCCCCCTTTCATCCGAGCATTGTTCATGTTTCTGCTCTTACTCCACAGAACTAGCTAGTTAGAAGGGTATAACAAATGAATTGTTTCCCTCTGCTTTCAAAAATTTGACACCATGCAAACTGAGCCGGGGTAATCTGTTCGCATTTTTCTAAAATTATTCTAAAATTTAGTTGTGTTATTCTTTCAATTTGTTTCGAGTTCCCATTATCGTTGCAAATTGCACACTCGACTCCCTAAACTTATCCTGAGTTCTCATTCTCATTACCTGTAAATTGCACACTCAGTTCTTTAAACTTGCCCAGAGTTCTTTATCACAATCCTGGTACTTGCAAATTATACACTCGGCACCATAGACTTTGTATTACTACACCATCCTGGTCTAGCTCCCTCCCCCGCACCATCCTCTCGCCTTGCCCTGCTGCATCATGCACACCTCACTATGGTTGCTCCACAATGCACCATGCTCACTCCGCACACCCGGTTGTGTTGCCGACGCAATGCCGCACCCACACTGCCACACCAGAACTTGCAGCGCCTGCCACAATGTACGCTGCACTCGCCTTGCCAGGCTGTAGCTGCAGCGACGCGCTTGCATGCGTGTGCATGCCGAGGTGCTCGCCCACGACCCACGGTGGTGTAGGCATCCACGTCCACGTGAGATGAGCTCATTGCGACAGGAGTTGAGGAAGGTTCTGATTTGTGAAGGTGGGGAGTGGCTGTGAGGAGATGGCGAGCATTAGACCATGTATTGCAGGGGAATGGAGGAAAGCGGCAGTAGCGGTACATGATCTATTATGATATCATGGGTACAATAGGGCAACAGCGGAATAGTGTGGCACGATTGCACAGGTGAGTGGAGCACGTGCAGCGTGAGGATGGTGCAATGCGAGAGGTGGGAGACAGGGGCGAACTTGGGTGGCACAATAATATAAGGCCTGGGAGCTGAGTGTGCATTTGTAAGTATCAGGACGTAGATGAGAACTTAGAACAAGTTCAAAGAGTTGATTGTTCAATTTGCAAGAGTACTGGACCTGGACAAAAACTTAGGACAAATTAAGAGGGCCGAATATGCAATCTACAAGTAGAGAAACCAGGACAAGAACTCAAGACAATTCAAGGACCGTTAGTGCTATGATATCATTTCCTCTTTCTTTGTTTGGTACCGTGGATTCAACGTGTGCATGCTGATTGTCCGTAAAGAAGTTTATTAGCAACGTTCTCTTTAAGAATTAGGGATTTGCTATTTTCATGTGCTTGAATTTTCGTTTTCTTTGGGGCAACGGTTATAGCATATATTTTATACTAAAATTGTAGTTTTAGTTTATTATAATTTCTGTAGACACAATGTGTAATTTTTGGTTCCGAGAATAAAAAACCCATTAGACAGAAACCATAAACCTAACAAAATCTGATGTGTTGGCACAAAGATAATTTGACAATTTATAATCATTTCTATAGTCTGACAAGGACAAAAATTTGATATGTTATGACATATAGATAAATAGCAAATCATAAAAGTGACAATTTACTTATATTAGGTAGCACAAGAATGTTGTCTGAAATCATCTTAAAATTCAGGCACCTGGAATATAGGAAAATCTAACACTTATTATTTCAGTTACTTTCTAGTCTCAGTTTCTCCGTTCTAAATTATGTTTCACTTTAGTTCTAGGATTCTTTAGTTATCAAAAAATTATAGGATTCAAGAATTTACCACATTGGGATATTTCGAAAAATTCTTGAATAAACCAATCCGAGAACAATTAGATGCCAATGAAATCATCAGTTTTATCCTAAGTTAAACTTTTTTAAACTACATTTAAGTTTTTTTTAAATACATTCACGTCTATAGATTCAAATAAATACATAATATAATATACTTTATAGAAAATTTAATGAAACTAATTTAATGTTGTAGATGATGAATTTGATCGAAATTTAAAAAGTTTCACTTAGAACAATCAAATCCAAACTGTAATTTGGATGGAGTGAGTACGACCTATCAAATTTATTGGGCACACCTAATGAAAGAAAGGAAGATTTTGGAGACTTGTACTGGTTGCGTGGCATGCATGCAACCCTGCTCTTGTTTTCCTGCTCTGGCCACTGGGCAATATGCCAGTACCACACGCATATCGTTCATCATCAGAAAAACTGCAATTTCGAACCTCCCCAACCAACCAAAACGACGTCACTCTCAGTACGCCGGTAGTTGAACGAACCACGGCAACCCATGCATCGAAATCTCACTGAAGCCTATCTACTCGTACTCGATCGCCAGAAGCTCCACAACACAAGTCAACAACCTAGCTCACTTATCAGCACTTTGGTACTCGTCTCGGCTACATATAAGAACGAGTCTCGGCTATACATACCGAAGAAGGGATCGATGGCGCGGGTGCGCGAGCCACCGATGGCATCGAACGACGATTCCGCGTCGCTCTTGGTCGACGAATGGTCGCCACCAGCAGTCACCCCTGCTCGTGGGTCGTCTCCCTTGCGGTGGCTCCTTCACGGCGGGAAGCAGGCGACGACGACGAGGCCGGTCACCACCACCACCACAACCGCCACCAGGAGCCACGACGTCAAGAGGTTCATATGCTCACCTTTCGCGGCCGTCTTCCGGGCGATGTCGTGCGCGCGTGATGCTGCGATCCGTACATGCGACGAACAACAGCCAAGCAGCAACAACGGCACGGCCGGGGTGGTCGCCGAGCTCCGCCAGGAGGCGGCAAGGAGGAGACGGCCAAGCCTCGAGCAGCTCCTCAGGATGGAAGCGCGCATGCCGCCGCCGGCATCCTCCCGCCCAGATCATCAGCAGCGCAAGCTGGTGGTGGGCAAACCACGAGAAGCGGCGGCGGCAGCTCCGTACGAGGTGATCTCCTCCTGCGCCGTGAAGGGGAATAAAGAGCAGGAGCCGTTATTCCCCTCTCCTCAAAGTCATTTCGTGGCTGCTGTCTCCGACGACGGTGAGCGGCGGCGGCGAACCACGGTCGTACCCGTGAAGTTGGAGGCCGGCACCGGCGGTGGCCCCGGCCGGCAAACGAATGCGAAAAGGCTGGTGGTCGTTTTCGCGTCTCTGCGGGCGTGCTCACGGGCTCCAAGGATTAACGACGGGAAGGTGGCTGCGGCAGGCCGTGCTCCCGGCAAGGCGGAGCTGTTCTATTATCGACCCATTCCCATGGGGCGGAGGTGCCGGGTTCAGCATCTGGAGGAGTCTCCTTACAGTAGTGACTTGTCGTCGCTGCTCGACCTTGGACAGATGTGACATGTGAGTGCATGGTCAGGCCGTCCGGGAATAGGCGAAATAGCCATGCACACTTCGTACGCATATACTGCAAATCTATGTTCCGTATTATTTTCCATTTTTCGAGCTGTGTGTATGTTAGTATTTTTATTTACATTATATATAAAAATCTGTCAGCACACGCGATATTCCAACGATTTTTTGGACGCTCGTGCATATATAAACACGTGTACATGCATCCCACTTCTGTGAAGACTTTTGAAAGGCCACGTGTCTTGAGATTATTAAAGTCACCACTGATAATAATGTTGTCAAATCTTAGAGACCAATTTTTTTTTTTAAAACGACCATCCATATAAAATCAAACTTAAATCCCGCTGATTAGGTTTCACTAGCTAGCTGAACTACATCCATTTTTTAACACCTCTGGTGTTTTAAACCCTAAAACATGCCATATCATCATATGTATTGCACATCATTATTGTGTTAGTGAAAACTGTGATATGCATTCGCTAAAATAAGTTTATTTTTATGCTTATATGTGTTGAATTTTATGGATGAATCGAGTTCATAACCTTTGTTTTGGATTGGATTTCAA